GAAAAAAGTCATAAAATTTTAAAGGTGGCACCCCTGAAAAGCAAATACCAACAAAAACATGAAAATGTTCTTGATTTATAATTGAAATTAGAGGATATAAAACATTAATAGAGATCATAAAGATAGTATTAACATGGAAGAGAATAATAAAATGTGAAAACTTCTGTGATTAATATGACATTTCATTATATAAATCATTAATAACGGTCTTAAAGGAATTTTAATGCACAAATGAACTGAAGTGAATATTACATTACAGGAATAAAATTACTGTTATGAATTACTCTACCCGTTTCAAAAATTAAAGATAAATGAACTCAGACTAGACTATTAAAGTTTTAAATATAAAATCCTTTATCTAAAAATCATGAAAATTATAAAATGTCAAAGCTATATAAATTAGCATAGCTTTTTCTTCAGTGTGCTGAAACAGTTTATAGGTAGTAAAATAAATGATTTGTATCTTCACAACATTAGTCAAATCTTAAAATGAATATAATATTTCTTTACATATATTTTGACTCCATCTTCAAAATACAGTTTGAAAAAAAGCCTCAAACAGTTATAATTAATACCAAAGAACTTACAGGCCAGGGTACCAGACAATACCTTAAATTATCTTTTTGTTAACAGCCAGATATCTCTCAGGAGACGGTCACCTAAACCTGGTGGAACCCACCCAAGGAAACCATCACAAGAAATAGCTGATGTTATGCGGGGTCCCTCAAAAGAAGAAAGCGGATTAGACTGGAAAGTAGGACTGATAATGTTGATCACTGCAGGAAACAATTTGCTGGATATATTAGAAATGTTGATGTATTGAGATAATCCATTAACTAAAATGGGTTTGTAGAAGAGATTCTAAAATGCTAAATTACTCTGACAATTTTTAGATACAATTTGGGTTCCCTGAGCCATTTCACCAATTAAAAAAGGTTAATAAATATTTTCTACCCCTCCTATTATTACACTTTAACACCCAGTCTTTGAACTGAATTGTGGACACAGAAGTGTTTTGTTGCCCCCATAAAAACTCTCAGCCTGGGAACTGATGAAAAAAATAATACTTTGAGGTGTAAGAGCTGTAACGAGCAGTTTAAGGTACAAACACAAACAGTGACTTTGATGCCCGTTTCCCATTTAAGTCAACACGAGGTTTGTGCCTAAATACCTCTATGTATCTTACTCTTACCAAAATAAGAGAAGAAGTATCCCTGCTTATAAGTTTAAATAATGGGTAAAACCCTATTGCCGTGTAGATATTTTATTCTGAAAGAAAAAACTTCTTTTTTTTCCGCAATTACTGTCCAGAGTGTAGCTCAAAATTACCTTCCAAAACCCCTTCTCCCAAATGGGCCATCACAAAGTATCTGTTAGACTAATAGGTAAACAGTGGATAGAGGAAAAAACGCAGAGCAGAAATAAGAATAATGCATGTTTTTATCGTATTTGACATTTTTACCCCTTGTCAAAACAAACGTCCTACAGCGCGGTCACCATCTTCACCAGCTCCATCCTGCTCCATCTGCAGCTGATCACACATGACCATTTGCTGTGGGGCTGTGCTACAGCAACTCCAAATTAGATGGAATTATCAGCACCTATTAGCAATCTGAATTATTTAAGGTTCATTCCCATAAGAAGCATGTTAGTTTGAAAGCCTTCTGTGCGAAAAATGTCACTGACCAGATGCAGTTCTTCTTCCCTTAACTAGTGGCAGCTAGATGAGCCTTTGTTTCCAGTCATGTGCACTGGGGGAATCTGCTGCTTTCCCACATACCCAACACAAACCTGTCTCCACTTTACTTTTTTTTTTTTACCCCTCTGGCTATGGCAGAAAGAAGGCAGCGAGGAGATGGAGCCCAGAGCCAAAGACCACCCCTGACCCATCCTGCTCCTGCAGGAAAGGAGGAAGAATTCAGCGGCAGCCACCCTGCGCTCTCCCCAGACATGATGGGCAACACCCCAACATGTCCCACCCACTGCACACCCCCTTCACGACCAAGGGGATAACTTTGATATTAGAATCCACATAAAATTTATTTCCAGATTTGCATACCCACATGAGAACTACCTGACAACCAACACTTCTGTAGTCTCTGCAGAGATGTATTGAGTCTTCTAGAGTAACACATTTTTTCTACAACTTATGAAAAAGAGACTACCCTGGTAAAGTATTTTACAGTAAAACAGCTTTGCAAAAGATAATAAAAAGGTATATTCCATCCAAAAACCATGGTTAAAGAGAGTATATAATTTTATTTAGCAGGGTATAAACCCAAGGAGAGTAAAGAAGAGCTTGCATGGTAAAAGTCTGCCGCTATTACCTGTTGACACACAAAATTACACCGTATTCTCTTTCCAAACCTAAAAACCATTACCTGCTTTTCAAAGAACAAATGTTCCTGCTCTTGCTAAATCTACTCAGGTAGTTACAGATTACATAAAAAAATGTCCTTACATTTGCCCATTTTAGGAGCAAAAATTGCAAATTTCACAGTTAATGAGTTTCTGAACTTACAAGGTGTATGAACACTGATCTGGGTATGTAGATATGTTTTCTTGCATCAAGAACTTAGATAAGTACTTGTGTAATGCAAAAGCATTCATATTAAAATAGTTAACCATCTACTTAATTTATTCTTCTTCCTGTATTTTTGAAAAAGGTTCAGTACTGATCAGCTTGCACTCTTTGTAGGCTTTTTTCCACCCCGCTCTGTTGCAAATCATAGCCTGATGACCTCAATAATCGCATTAGGTTCCTGGTGGCACAATGGAACATAAAAGACATGCCAGATGAAAAGAGACACAAAACTGGCTCCCCAATGGACTGAACGTCCTAACCATTATCTTAGAATATGCCACCAACTGGAATCTGAAGCGGTTTCAATCCATAATTTAAATGGAGATTATTTTATCAGTCTACTAATTTGGTAAAATAATCCTTCAGAATTATTTTTGGAGCAATTCCACTAAACTTTAAACTTTGTCTCTCCTTCCTCATAAACTATACCATCAACTGGACTAAACAAGACCTCATGGCCAACGCTAGGCTGTCTGGCACACTAACCTTTCAACTATGCCTTGCACTCAGCTGCAGCTATATATTCAGCTTATTTCCAAATCTAACTCTCCGTTACAAGAGATCAGTGCCCCATCTTTTCTGTAACTTTTGATAACTTCTTATTTTCAGAAGGTACTTCAGACATTCAACACCACAAAACATTTTACTTGTTAGGTAGAGCACAGATGTTTTTTCTGCGCTCTAGGTGGTGTTATAATACCTTCAGAAATAATTTGAAAAAAAATATATACTGTAACAGAAAAAAAAAAAAAGAGATCAGTACTGACCACCCTGCTCCAAACCTTTTCATATATATTTCATATCACAGAACTTTTGTTCATAGCATTCTTCGGGTATAAGTAGAAATCTGAATATCCTTCTGATGAAACCACAAATGGGACAGCTTTCTTCCAGTCAGGACAGAGTGAGCATATTTTGAAAAGGTGTACACCCTTAAACTTCCTAATTTGGTAACTTAAATCCTAGCTCAAGGTTCTTCTCAGAAATAAAACTTCAGAAGACAAAATACAGACAAATCATTCACTTCACTGGCTCACATCAAACTCCATTCCTCTCTTTTATAACAAACAGATTTGATGCCTCACTAGGTAGATTTTTCTCAGAAAATAACTATTCTGTTCAAAAGTTAACACCCCTCCAGACATTAACAATAGAAATATCAAAGACTCTTCATGTACTTTGGATTTAGACATGATGTCTTTACAATTTAGGTTTTTTTTTTATATATAAAACTGACTGCCTCAATGTTCCTCTGTACATGAATTAGTAAAACAGCAATTAAAACACAGTTGACAGCATGGTAAAGTAACAGAATCATTATATGTCCTTTTATAAAAAGGGTCTTGACATTAAAAAAAGGAAAAGTTTGACAGATACCTAGCTAGTCATGCTCTGACTTGTCCATGCAAGCCAGACTAATAGAAACTGAATGTAAAAGGCTAATGCAATCTTTGCCACAAATATCACTTACCTGTGTTTGATCGTCTTCTGATTCCAAAGTCCCAGCTTGAGGTAATATCTACTGATTGGGAATACACATAGCCCTGAGTCTCACCATTGCTTCCCTGGGTTTCTGAACCACTGTCCCCATATGCTGACGAGGGATTAAACTTCTCCAGGTCGACATCGTGATCTATCAGGACCATCTCACACATCCCAGTGTCATCACTGGTCACGTGTGACTGCCGAATATGAGCAAGAATAATTGTTGGGTTGTCCAGGAAAGCCATGCTGTCCACAAGTCCACCACGTCGCTATACTATCTTCTCTCCATCTTGCTCCATGGACTTGTGTACCTAAAAATAAAATGTACGAAGTATTTTAGAAAAAATTTAAAAATCCCTGCTTCAAGAAGGTTTACACCTTGGATGCATAAAACCTGACTCAGTTTTGTACAGTAAATAATTTTAACTCTGCTCCAGTTTACTTAAGTTACACTGCTCACTGAGATCCACTGAAAGAACCGTGGCTTTGAGGGACAGCTTGAACCCTGAACATCAAGACAAGAGGAAAAGCATACACCTCCTGACAGGTCCTATTACTCTGCAACAAATGCTGTTGTAAGGCAAAATATTCTATGTACTGCACACAGAAGGATGGAGAGAAAATACACAAAAGAAACATCTGTCTATTCAAATTATTAAATTTACAAAACCAGACAGGGTTTTTGAATTTATTTTCACCCATCACAACAGTATGTTACCAACTCTTCGGTTTCTTTATTATAGACCCTCTTCAGATATTGTATTTCCAGGAAAAACTTTGAACGTGAAGAGATTGGTATCTCAGGGCAGAATACTGAACATCTGCTGCTGCGTGGTGCTTCATACAGGGCAACTGCTGTAATCCAGCACAAGCTCCATGATCATACAGCACACACCTGCATTCCTGAGCACTTTATCAACAGTAATGGCCACTTACCTAAACCAGCTCACTCAGCAAACTCAGCTCCTTACAAAAGAAAGTAGAGGGGGGGAAAAAAATAAAAAAGGAAAAAAGCCCCCAACAAGCCTCAAAACCCAAACCACGCTCAAACGGTTATCCTGTTTTACTGTAGGAGTGGATTTACAGTGAGTGTAATTCCAGCCTGGGCTGCCTCCGCAAGGGGCAGCTCCACACTCCTGCCCGGCCCCAGTCGGATCCTCCACCACCTCCCAAAGGCTGGCAGCGGCACTTGTGTGCCTCTGAGGCGGGCTGGAACAAAAAAATGACCTGCTGGAAATAACCCAAAAGGAAAAAAACCACTTAATTTCCAGGCTGATCAGTCCGCCAGCGACCAGCTGCCAGAGCCCGGTACAACACAAGACAGGCAGCGGGAGCAGCGGCGCAGAGCCCAGGCTCCCCTCCCGCAGCGGTGCCCGCGGCTGGCGCAGAGCGACGGCCAAACCTGTGCCCCAGGAACAGGGGGGCTGGGGGGGTTTCAGTCTAAGTTCACAGAGAGATGTAAGACCACAGGTAAATTCCAGAAGATCAAAATCCCCACTGCTTGTCTAATCATTTGTGTATCTGAGAAAAAACTCAACATCTTCATATTTTTATTTAATATTTTGACCATAGAAACAACACAAACCCCTATGTTGCTGTTTGCAAAACTTCTGTCAGCAAGAGGAAAATACCGAAGGAAAGAAACAATTTTAAATCGCACAAAGCACTATCCCATGAAAATCTGGTAAAGGCAGCTGGCCTTTTCCTGGCAGATTTTAACAGAAGAAAGCGCAAGACAGCATCAGCCAGGCTTGTTCCAGGAGCAGCAACACATTTCATCATTTCCCCCCCACACTTCCAAGGGGAGAGGTGTATCAACATAGAGAGCCCCAGGAAGCAGCTTCTGCATTTAAATAGTTGGAATCAAAAGTAATACTTTAGTTGGACACTCATCTAATCATGACGAAACCAAAATTCTGAAGGTGTACTGTAAATTGCAAACCCACCATCCCTACCAGTATCCTCCGTACCAAACATCAGAATCTGCTAATTAGAACAGTCAATAAATAGAGATTTGCATCCTTTACAATTTTATGGGGGTTTTTTTCCTCCCTTGGCCATAAATATTGCTTTTTTTTTTTTTCCTGAAACAGTGTCCTTTCTGCTTTAAAAAAATACAGACAAATTAAAAAGTATTCTATTAAACAGCAGACCCAGCAGCAAGAAGGAATTCAATAAAAGAATGGCAGAGAAATAAAACTGACATGCTGCTTGTTATTAATACACTACTCCTCCCATACATTTTAATAAACTATGCTATCAGCTAAACACACTCCCCCGTGGAGATACCCAAGCCCCAGTTGGCCATGGCCCCGAGCTGGACGCTGGCCCCCATCCCCAGCAGTCCTGCCAGCCTTGGCAGCGCTGGGACTCCAGCTCCATTTTTTATTTTCTGACTCTCTCCGTCACAGAAAGCAGGCCTGCTCTCCCAGCCTCCTGGCTGCAACGTGCCCCTTCAAGGCCCTGGAGCCCTGAGGGTGCAGCTGGTACGGTGAGACCTGCAGAGCACAGACACAGCCAAGCACAACCTAGGACATTCTAAAAGTGTGCTAAGAATGTTCTTTAGATGTAGTTATCTACACACCGCTCATTAGAAAAGGCCGAGCTCACCTGCAAGCAGGAAGAACTTGTTTAAATAAGCAGCTGCCTCAGGCTTCTGAAAGGTCTGCAAACTCCCGATCAAAAATTACTGCTGCCCCATCAATGTGTCATATAAACGCTGGCATGTTAATTGTGTATTTATAAGATTGTTAATGGTTAGTTAATTTACCTCCCACACTATTATTGTACTTGAAATGATTTAATGTCTGCTAAGGGAGTTAACAACATGTAACAGCAGATGTGAGAATTTTACCTTTATACTCTGCACCCCGACTTCCCGCTATTAACAGTCCGTGTGCTAAATCACCCAAGCTTCTTTACAATTTTACATACGCAATCAAGTTTCCCATAAACATGAGCAGTGAAAAATTGCCAGAAATTCTATTTCAAACTCTGAGGTCTAACACAAACCTGTATTTTCTTCCTCCTCTTCAGAATTTTCAAACGGATATATTAAAATGAAATTCTCAATAAATTAACATTAACTGGAAATTCTATGAACAGTTAACACCCCTCAAAAAAAAAAAAATCAGGAAAAAAGTTCAGACCCCAAAATTCAGATCAGACTTTCATGCCATATCCGAGTAGTTGCTCTCTACACAATTCTGACCAGCTCCTCGCTTTGATAAAGGCAAAACACAATCAGAAGGCCTGGTCTGAGGAACACCTCCAATGAAGTAACAGTTCAATTTTGCAAATCTTTCCATTAATAATTTTAAGCCACCACGTCATCAGTTTCAGAAAAATTACAGATACAAGATCGATGTCTCGATCCACTGAGATTTGCCATCACACCACCTCTTCTGCACTCCTTGTATCCACATGATGATCACGTCCACATGGAGTAGTGGAATTTAACGGAATTCAGGGACTTTCTGAACACCAGCAACTTCTATACTCTTCAGTTATAGACAAAAACTAAAGGCTCTTTTAGTATCTGCACTATATAAATATTATTCATTATTCTACTATTAAATACTTTGCAGACAGCTGTCAAGCATAATCTCCGTGAACTCTAAAAATGACGAGAGCAACGTGAAACCCATGCGATCGTAACAGCATTTACAGGTGACATGACACACAGGTCATGCTGCGATGATACCACCCATCGGCAAACACCTTCCACGATTCATCACGCGGGTGGACAGAGCTCAACCAGCCCTTCCCTTTCTTCTTGACCTTTCTTATTCACCTGTCTCACCTTCTGCGTGTTATCTGACCAACACCCCGACACGAACGCCCCCTCACCTTCCCCTGGGTCTCATCGCCGTGTTACTGGAGTGCCCCAAAGACCACAGGGAGCACAGGAGAACATCCTCGGAGGTGAAAAACTGCACCACCAAGAGGCTGAACGGCTTTCCATGTTTCACAGGAACTTTGTCGCAAAATCAGACAGCTGGATGTCAGTCCACTGATTTCATCAGAAGTATTCCTCCTCCAGTCCCCCACTGCTCTGTTTGTGGCACCCCCAGCCTTGCACAGCGAGCCCGTTGTGCAGACCAACCTCACTCACGACAGGCACACAGCAAGCGACACAGAACGCTCCGACAGAATACTCAGCTCCCAGCGGGTGACGCAAAGGTCTGAAGAGAGGGATGTAGTTACACAGGGTGTACCGGACACACACAGGTGAACACACCTGAATTTGGGGAGGCAGCTTCATCATCACAACATACTATGTCTTCTTATGACCCTCCCGCTTGCACGATACACTGTATTCACTGAAACAAAATGAAGATTTTCTCACTTTCGTCTTTCCCCACCAAAAACTCCTCAAGGAAGCAATAAACAATTAAAGCCCCGTTCAAGGTAAACAAAAACTTTCCAAACCAAGATGCAACTTCTGGAAGGTAAAACAAGTACTAACAACCGCAAAATACAGCAGGCTGGAAGAATTACGTAACATTACAGGTCATCTTATCGCCCAAGGGCTTCCACAGGCACTGGAATTGAACACCTCTCCAGCTGTAGCTCTTTGAAGTGATATTAAACACTAATGAAAAAATAGGCAGATTAGAATTAAAAACAATTGATTTTTTCAGCCCACATTATACAAGCTGCAATAGGACAGTGCGAACATACTTCAAAATTTATGATTCAGGTTATATGAAATAATTTCACAGTTAACTTCTGCCTGCAATTGCAACAGAAATGGTTCTGGTTATCTACATCCGCAGCAGCACAAATAATCAAAACCCTCGAACGCCAGACAGGCTCCTGCGTGTGCAGGATAAAGGAAAGTGAACCGCAATATATGAAAATTCAAGTTTGTGTTCCAACAAAAGCTCAAGTGTATTTAAGAATGAATACTTATCTAGAGAAGCTGTCACTCATGCTTTGGGTCCTATCATTAAAAAGCAAATAATCATTTAAAGTCACTTAAAGAGGTGCTCTTTCACCAGTGACACTGGAATTGGAAAGTTATGATGAAAAAACACTACCGTACACACAACTGCCAACAAATTATTTGTTAGGTTTCAAACCTGTGACTCAATCTGGCATTAGCTATATTTCTCTGTTTATGAACTGCTTGGAATTTGGCTGTATTTTTGTTGTCATACTCATCAGGATGCAAATTATACCAACTCTGATATTTTAATTATTGAGCTTTAGGGAAGGAGGGAGAGAATATTGGCATATGTATGGTAACTGTATACTCTCCTCTGTTTGCTTCCTGACCGTGTCAATTCTCCATTAAACTGCAAACA